GAGGGGGGATGAGGGCGAGAACGACGGCGACAACGACGCCACGACGTCGGCGGTGTCGCCGCAGGGCTTCCCTCTCTCTCCACAGTGCCGCGTCAGCACCACCGGAGCTGCGCTGCGGCCACCGAAGCCAGGCTTCCTGCTGCGCCCTTCCGCCCGGCCCAGCGCGGCCCTTCTGCCTCCGGAGCTCCCGGCAACGGGCGTCCTGCTCAGCTTCGCAGACTCTCGCTCAATGATATTTACGCTCCGCACCGATTCCCCCTCGCCGGAATTGAATTACCTCGTTTATTAGACTCTCAATCTCATCACGCACTCTAGCCTTTTTCCTTCTCTCTTTTCTTTATTACAGACAGAACACGTGAACTAGTATGTTCTAATTTTAATCGAGACAAACCAGAAACGCGCTGATTGCGCAAAGGTTTCGGAAAATAAATAATAAATTCCGAGTAAAGGTATTTTACAATAGTGTGCATGTTGGAGGGAGTTTCCGCGAAATCATTATTTCCATGAGTTTCTGTTGATTCTCGGAGTTGCGAAGTCAATTAGCTCTGATTAGTTTTAAAGTAGATGCGCGCATGTCGACTAAATAAGCGTAAAAATTCCAAATTGACAAATAAACCTAAGATTGTCCCGCAACGTCGGAGACTGCGTCGAAATTGTCAGAACTATAATTACATTGGTATATGCTGGAGATTTTGAATTTTTAAAATCTCAGAGGAAATAATGGGTTCTAGGTTAAACCAAGATTTACATTTACAATTATGTTCGATTTCCTTTGCCACATTTGGGTTTTAAATGATCTTTTTCACGTATTTGAGATTTTTTTAATTCAGAGGCGATAGAGCAAGGTAGTAAGACAGATTTATAGCAAGTACTCGTTATTTCTGGGCTCCGTACTCTTCCGCAACTGCCAGTTATGTGAAGTAACTGGAAATTTCGTCAAAAAAAAAGAGTCGCTTCATATGTATTGTCACCTTAATAGTTTACTTTACAGTTCAGAACACCACGTCCTAAAATCGTAAGCATTCTTCGAAAATTGCAGCGTCCACTTCAGCCACACCCGAAATGGGAATTGGTTATCCGGACGAACAGATCGGGTGCATCGGGACTTGCAGGTCACAATAAAACCAATTCCGATCCAATTCGGTCCGCGCGGACAAAAGGGCTGGCGGGAGGGCGCTGGGAGGTCGGCCGCCCTCCGCTCCATTAGCCCGGGGCCTCTTCCACGCGGGGGCCCATTAGCCAGGGCGCGCAAAAAGTGTTTGCGGGAAGCCGCCCGCGCGCTGCAGCTGCACCGAGCCCCCCCCCCCTGCGGCGGAAGAGCTCAGCTCATGGCAGACGCAGGCCGCGGCCGAGCAACCAACGGCGCCAGGGGCAGCTGAGGCGGCGCGCGGAGACCTAAGCAAGCACATGCGTCTCAAGTGTGTTTCTCACAGAGACGGCCCTCGTAGTGTAGGTTGTTAAAGCTTCTGCTTAAGCATGAATATTCAAATTGTCATTTGGCTTGAGATTTATATTAAAATAAAAATTAGGCCAGGGGCCTTATCTCTTCTGTTATCGACACCAGCTAGATCGCATTTAATCGCTGCCTCGAGGAGAATTTTTGCGGCCGGATGTTCTGATCGGTTTCTCCGATCAATCCAAGGCGAATGCCAGAGTAATACCGTCGCACAATCTTTCCTTCCACTTATCTGTCTTATCGACTCTCGATGCACACACACATATATACACGCTCTACAATATCACATATGTCAAGACACCATTAGAAAGCTTTGAGCTTGTCCCGGCTAGAGAGTTGCCCTGTTGAAGGAGAGGAAATTCCCTGTACGCCGACGTGTAGGTCGACGTCGGATTTCGCCGTCCAATGAGGGATGAGCACAAGGAGGCATCAAAACACCCACTACACTTCGGGACTAATGGCCACACCCATTGAGGTAACCAGATACATCAATTAATTTACACTCATCTACGCGTAGTTCTTTCATCATAACCGAACACAGATTATGGGAGAGAAATGGACAGTTCGGTGCCGAGATGAGGGATAAACATTCACTAAAAATGATATTATTCCAACTGAACAATTGACCGAGAAATCACGAAGTAGTGGCGGGCAATTTCTTTGAAGCACAGTCAAAATAATCATTTATTTATGAATAACCCATATTGGATGCGCTGGGCGTCACAGATATCACAAGAAAGGCCACACTGGATCACATGGCATTTCTCTCATGACCTTTCCTAGGCGAAAATGAATGTTCAGTGGAACAATGGTGCCAAGGCAGCAAAATGTCAGATGAGCGAGTCACTCGTGGGTGAAGCGCAAGAAGTGAACTAGAATAGAGAAAGGCGTTAGCAAGAAAAAGTAGTTTCCGACTCGCAGAACACACTGCAAAGAAATTTTGTCATAAAACAGTTTCATTTGGAGAGACACTTAGCTGCTGAGAGGAAGACTGTACGGTCAGCGAGCTACAGATGGATTACGTTCGATATTTTAAAAAAAATTGATTGATAGGTAAAGATAAAAACAAACACAAGGTAGAGAAAATGTATATCCAGTATTAATAATACATTCTGTTTGTAATACGTAATCCAACTTTTCAAGTCAGAAGAGATAAATTACAAACCCTTGATTTTAGTAGAGCCTTCCCAAGATTCTATATCATGTGAACAATTTGTCTATGTGCATTGTTTCACTTTGCCTCGAGGGCAGCAGTAGGTGACACTCACTTCGCGTAGAAAGGCGAAGTACTGGTCCGCTTATTAATACCCGAGGGGATCTCTGTTAATATCATATTCACTTGTGGGTATCATGTATTATCATGGGAAATTCAGCTCACCACTAGAGCCCTGGTTGAGAACGGCAGGCCACTGAAGACAGCGCAGGAACTGTAAATAAGAGATATCGGGAATCATTTGATGTCGCTAAGGATGACCAGAAGCAGAGTAAAGAGACTTCGTTTGATGCCTGCAGACAGACCTTTAGAAAGACCAGGTGGAGAGTTCACCACGTGGCCAGGCCTAAAGACAAAGCTCGATGCACGTGGAGCGGGCGCAAGTAGGAGACACACACGCGCGTGTGAGGGGCAAGGGCAAAGTACTCGTCCGCGTATTAAAAGCCAGAGACAAACACGGCGAGTTATTAAAACGCCGGGGCAGCCCGGGTGGTGATAAGGGCCTTAAGCAGCTCGGGGTCCTCCGCCTGTTGAACGGAGCCACCTCCACTGCTGGAGTGCAGAGGGCAAAGAGTTTACAGAGCGGGAGGGGGGGGGCGAGTGTTTGCTCAGTGAAGGGGAAGGTCGCGCGACGTCCGCGCTCCCACCGCGCACGCGTGAGGGAGAGCGGGCGGCCTTTTTATCACGCAGCACGTCTTGGATAAACACATCTCCGCTCGCCCAGACGCGACTCGACTCGACTCGACTCGACTCGACCGTTTATGCGAAATTATCTTGCCGTGTTATGTACACCCTCCGAGGAAATTTAAAGCTCGAGAAAGGAGAAAAAGGAAAAAAGAAAACAACTTTATGTTTGAACAATAATTCAGCCGCTGCGTGCATTTCTGTTCTTTCGAGTACATTTAGAAGAAAAACTATTTTGTTTTTTCTTCAGTGAAACAATGCATCACGCAGAATCCATTCTGAATTAGAAAACACTCCACATACGCTCACTTAAATGCATATTACAGATTGCTCATTTCTAATGTATATTAAACTATGATATGCCAATGATGAAAGAACGTGCATTACTTAAGGCGTAAGGCAATAAAAATCTGTTACATGATCGTCAACTTTATACACAACATGTTAAATTTATAATATTTTCAATGTTATATTTTTAATATTTTCAATTTAATATTTTTTTATGTATAATTTTTAGTATGCACCTGTCATACACCAGTGCAGGATGGGTTGCCTAACCAATCAGGGGAAAATCTCAAATGAAACTTCATTAAACGAAAATTCCCACCGAATGTCCGTTAGGAAAATATAATCATCTTCAACTTCCTTACATGCCTTAGACGTTTGTAGCATACATTCTAAACCAACCCGATTTGGCCGTGACTTGTTCTTTGTCCCGAACTTTTTATGAATGTCATATGCAATAGTTCTTATTCAATGAAGGTGTTGTTATATCAGAATGTACATGTGTCTGAAACTGGGGCGCGCATTATATGAAATAAAATAGAATAACAGCGCGTTATAAAAGGAGGCGAACGCTTTAGAAGGGCAAGCCATTTCTTCTCCGCCCCCTCCAGACATATCGGAACGTTTTTGCGCAGTCGCCGAATCGAATCATCTACAAATATTCCTCAGCTCGAGAAACTCCCTCCGCGAATCCTCAGCCTGAAGAAGAAAAAAAGAAGAGAATATTCCGCTCGCAGAGACCGAGTAAAAACCCTCCATAACGCCGAGATATTCTCGGCCACAGTAAACGCCGCTTCCCTGGATTCGAGCAAGTCCGCTTTTACACACATAATAAACCGGGTCGTAACGGCATAATTTAACTGCAGCCGCCCGTCGGGCGCGACCGCGGCACCGCCGAGGGC